ACATCTATGGTTTGCCGGACCGATATTCAAATTTCCCGAAGCCCAAGAAAACTATTCCCCTAGTAATTCGATTCAGGTAATTGCAATACCTAGGGAATTGGCTGATTCCAAGTGCGCCAAAGCCTTGAACTTAAGTTCTAGTTAATGTGGCATTTTACTATAACCATATACCTGTTCGGGTTATGTTTGCCTATTTTTGGGGTGACGCAAGCAAAATTCTCCAGGATGGCAAGCAAACATATGAATAAACAAGCTGCGAACTGAGCCCCAGGAAAGAGACGTGTGCTGCTTAGAAATTTATTAGCAAACAAAAGATTTATTAATGCGAAAATTTGCTGCATCGGCACACATTGTCGTTGGTATTGGCTTAACGAGCCATTGGAATTGTGGCTCCACTGCCATTGTTGCTGCCGTTGACTTGATCTCTGTTTGCCATGCCAGGGTAAACAGGCAAATAAAGCTTAGTTGCATCTGGGCAAACACGGCTGGGGCGAACAGGTAACGCACACAAATGAGCAAAGTAACGGGCAGGTGGGTGCAAAACTGGCAAACCGGCCAAAAAGTGGCATTACATTTAATGCAGCCGCCAAGAACAAATGCACTTGCATTGATTAGTTTACCCAATTTGGCCCAGAATGCAGCCTGTATCGGAAATGGGGCAGGCAGATTGGGGTTTGAATTTCGCCCGCCGAAGCGATTAGCTTTCACCCAAACTTCGCTAAGTGGCTTGTGCTGGTGTGTGTGGGTTAATTGCGTTTGGGCCTCGGTGTCCATGTGCATGAATTGGCCAAAAACAGGCGGGAATCCACTTTAAAACTCTGGGGACACTCGGCGGCCCACGCGGCGTATGAGCAATAAATTAAATTTTTACCAAGTCGGCAGTAATAATTCTCGGAACCGACTGTTTGCTTAAGTTTCACCCAGATTGGCATATGAATAAATGAGGCAGATATTTTTCCAACTTATGTGCGAGTTTATATACCGAAACTTTCTTCCTACCTGGGATGATTAAGTGCAGGCAATTTATTAACAGATCAAAGTTTATGGCAGTCGTGTGTGTGTGAAAATTGATTTATGGATGGCCATCTTAGATGCCACGAGCCAAGACCCTTGGCGGAGCAATTTCTTCAACTTTTCGCCTCTCGCCCGTATTTATAATTTTGTTTATTCCCGCCGATCGTTGAGCTTATTCGGGGAATGTCCAAAGTTTCAATTGAAGATTAAGCCAGAAACTGGCTTTGCCACTTTTCCTGATTAACTTTCCAGTGACAAGATGCCAAATTCTCGGCTGACGTAATCGTTGGGACCTCCCCGGCTGCCTTCGCCCCCGAAACGGGAAGTTTTTCGGAAAAGGCAGCCAGTCAATCGCTGTTTAAAGCGGGGAAAAGTGCTTCCAAAAACAACTTTGAACTCTGATGTAGAACAAACACTGCAGCAACAAAAATAACGACGCCAGCAACTGGCCGCCCTCAAAAAATGTATATAAACCTGTGATTTTTATAGTCGACTTTATTTTCTGCCTTCCGTGCTCCGGTCTAGCTTTTGCGCCTTTTTTGGGGGCGTTCGAGGGTGGGGATCTCAAGGCGTTGGAGAAGGCAGCATTTGCTTTTATAGACTTTTCGCTGCCCGTCGTAATAGTTTCCGTTTCTACCCGTCGGTTGTATGTGCTCGAGTGACCCTTCAGATATTATTTTGGCTGCAAAACAAAGCAGAAATGACTTCCAGTGGTCGAAAATGCTGCTTGTGGGTGTGTGTAAAAAACACATAAAAAGTCCTTTCCTAGCTTTGACTTAGTTCATAAGGGAACTTATGGGTTCTGTGGTTTGTCGGTGTACTTTTCCGTCTTTAATCAATACTTAAGTTATGGCAGCACAAAAGAGAGATATCCATCAAAGATTTATTACTAATGAAGGCGAGCTGAGTGGGTTTTACGAGCAACGCTTGGTACCAAAGTTATGCCAACACAAAAGTAAAGATATCCATCGAAGATTAAATATTAACTGTCTACCAAAATTTGAAAACTTTATCAAGAGTCTTGAGACATCACCCAATTGAAAAATGTAAACAATGATTAAAGTACATTATTTAGTAAAGCAAATAGCAGTCGTACATCTTGCTTTCAATGACTACTTTGTTTTCTCTGCTTAGAATAAATATGTTGCACCGGTTACAACTGGAACAATATATAAAGCCTACACTTAGGGGCAACAACTTGGGGTCCTGGCTGAGTTCTTACCATGTCTTCCTCTGACAATGGCCAACGAAATTTCGAGTTTTCGAAGTGGAGCGTCAAGCAACCAGGCAAGCACTCATTAAGAATGTGGGAAAGTGTTTGCCCAGCTTAAGCTTTTAAAAGCAACGGCACAACGAAGAAGCGGAGCTCCACTCAGAACCGTTGACAGGACGGGAGACAGCCGGGAAGACACATCCAGATGAAGACGGGCAAACTATTTTGACTAGACTACATCAGTGGGCTGAACGTGCCGGGGGCCTGGACAGTGGCGCACATGTGTGTAGGGCTGTGCGCAGAATGTGTTTTTATAGATGTAAGGATAAACATCTCGGCAAATGAAAGGGGATGCCGCCTGCTGGGGGCCACAGACATTAATTCAGCAGCCGGGGGAGGGAAGTTTCGACCCACCCGAACCCCCAACCCCCAACCCCTCAACAATACACGCACACACGCCAGGCAATAACATAAAAATTTGCTGCTGTAAATCTGCTCGCAACTAGGAGGAGGCACACTTTAATGGGAACTCTGCCCAATCACCTCTTCTTTCAGCGCCCGCCCGGCGTATACGTAATCTGTTGTGTAATGTCTTTAGTTGTGACAAGTTCGTTGGGGGTTGGGTCCAAACTACAGCTGCCATGGTACCAAACTAAATCTGAGAGAGTGCGAAAAAAGTGTCAGAAAGAAAGGGACAGCAACTAAAGGGCTGACAGAGACAGCAGTCTCCTCCGTGCAAGTTGAAGTTTTGAAACAACATTTAGATAAATTTCCCCCGGGACTCCGAAATGGATGGCGCAGCGGATAGAATGATGTAGTAGTGTGCTGCCTGTGGCAAATCTAGTTTTCATACCTAGTTAGTCGCTAAAGTGGCTTTGAATACCGTTCCAACTTAAATTGGATTGCACCAATTACAATAATTGAAAACTTGAGTCGATCAATGGGCTAATGAGATGACAAACTGCCAGCTAAATAAACTTTCAAATGCCATTTAATTTCAATTACTACACAACACCCTCGTCACTTTCGGCTGCTGCGGAGCTGACTTGCCGGGCAGATGTGGAGTATTGGACTCCATTCGCTCGGAATAAGTAAGTGCTGCTCAATTTGGCCGCTCAACTATGTACTTCGTGGTTTCGTCATTAAGCCATTAAAGGGTTGACTCCTCGCAGGGGGCGGCGTTTTAATTGCGTTTCGTTTTGGCAACACAAGGGGAAACGGAAGCCCTCGACCGAAATTGAGCAACATTTGTGGGCAAGTTTCCCACTCGCAAAGTTTAACCGAAATGTCAAGTCATTAATATTCACACGCCGGCAGAGGCGAAAGAGTTTCAACAACAATTCTCGATTCAGACGAATAATATTTAATTAGAGAATTGTTTAGACAAACTTTTTAATTACGGGGCCCGCAGCGACGACCGCCCGCATAAATCTTGCAGCCGGGGCTTACCCGAAAAAATATTATGAACGCACCACTCGACCTTTGAAAAGCCTTTAAAGTCGCTAGCGGAGATGAAAAGCCCCTATTTTCCAGCGGTCCCCCTTCAGCCCCTCAGAAGCCGTCAGTTGCATAAATTTCACTTGCGCCGGCAACGTTAAAGTCAACATTCTGCTGCCAGTGGCCTACATTCGGCGGGGGGTGGCGCTGGGAAATCGGGGGTAAAACGGGGCTTGGAGTGTACTTTCAGCATTACTGCCTCCGCCTTTCACTTTCGGTGACATTTTGCAGCGTTGCATACATCACATGTGCGCCTGTGTGCGAGAGTGCCAGTGAGTGTGCGTGCTTATGCAGATGAGTTGCCAGTAACGTGTGGAAAATTATGAAGATAAATTTGTGTTTGTCTTTTTTTGTTTTTTGCGAGCGCCCGAAGAGCGTCAGTCGTGTGCCACTTTGGCGGCGCCAGCTGCTGCCGACACGAAAAATTCTATGAAAAATTACCCAAGTAAATCCGGGTGAGGTATAGGCGATAGTTTCCAACAGAATGGAGTTCTTAAAGCGAACGGAAATGGAAGAGCACGAAAGAAATAGAGTGAACTTAAAATGAGTTTTGGATGTTATGAAGTAAGGAACACAAAACTTGTAGAGACCCATTAAACACCAATTTATGTGGGTTTGTTATCCATAGAAGATATGGGACTTAAACTTTAATATAAAATTGAATTTAATATGATTAGAGTAGTTTTGAAACTCGTTAGCATAACACTAAAGTTTACTCAATTGTCCCCGAACCCGCATTTGCATACTACTTTGGATATATGTATACAAGCTTCAGAAAGTGATGTTACAATTTTCATATTTCAGGTTCAAGTGCGTCATATATCCATCTGTATGCAAGCCCAGCTAATTTAAGTTAAATTCCCAAATAGTTGAGGATCTGTGTATCGGGGGAAAACTAAATTAATTGACAACTGTTTGAGATGCTCGAGAGGAGTAATTTGGCGCATTGAATACAAATTGGGTGGCCATGTGGCCCGAGGCCAATTCCCGGCAAACTAAGCCGGCAAATGGCGAAACTTGAGATAATTAATTGAGCGCTAAACTAAACACGAATTCCGAACCGAGCCGGCCAAAAGCAATTATCTACAATAACAATACTAGCCACACACATATCCGTGTGTGTTCGTTAGCCCTGTGGCCCTTGCAAACACACCCCACACACCCACAAATCCACAAAGGACCTACAGTAAATCACTTGGCATTTAGCAGTCTAAAATAAATCGATTCTCTATTAACGGAACATTAAAAACCCCGATTGCCTTTTGTTTCATTTCAGATAAATGCGCTAAACAAACAAAAACGGATAACGGCCAAAATCCAATCTGAATCAAAGGGCCAGTGGGATTTAACCCCAGAGACAGATGTTGCTGTTCCCCCACGAACGGGAAAATAGTGAACATGGCCCAGAGCCAACGGTTATTGATGGTCCGAAGAGTGGAAATCACTGTTGAAGCACTAAGGAACCGAGACGGAAAGAAATATTAAACAAATTATGAGCAGCACAGCGATTGTGGGGCAATAAAATTGGCCATAAAAACACAGTTGATACCGTGCCGAACAGTAAAAGACGAAAACTATTATTTGACAAACTGTTAGCGGAGTCACTCGAAAGTAAAATTGTGAACGTTTGCAGAAAGTCAGTGGGACGTTTTTTTCAAGGAGAGTCCCAAACGTTGGCACACGTTGCGTATACGCCGCGTTGGCAGTTCCGCAGTTTTCCAGGAGGTGTTAAATGCGTTCGCAAATCCCAGCTGGAGCGGTAGCTCCCCCGACCACCGTCCCTTTTGGATCCGCCACTGGAAGCCAGTAAAAGCCAGTGAAAGTGCCGAGCTGTGCACTATTTCCGCGTAACTGAACATTATCGCTCTCGCTCCCTCGGGGGAGGGGATGCGCCCCTGGAAAAGTCGCAGTCGATCCGAAATGCAAACACTCGAAACGAGAACGCGGCCCCTGCAGGGCGCCCAACTTGCCCAGCTCCTCCTCGGAGGCATCCTCTGCCTCACAATCGGTAAGTGCCCCGATGTTTAGCCTAAGACCAAGGACCCAAGGCCCTCGCGTTGTATCTCGACATCCAAACTAATCAGGGCATAATCAATTAGAGTTTCGATGGCCCAATATCCTCGACAATTTCCTTGGCTCCTTGCGCAATGTCAAAGGCGTGTCCCCAAAAACAAGGCTGTTCAGCCACAAATCCACTGAAAAAAGCATGTTATAGGAAATTAATTCACGGTAGAGTGTTTCGTGTTTTAAGGAGATTTTTACAACATTTGATTAAATTCTAAATCTGAATGTAGTTGAAGCCATGCAATTTTGTTTTATTTACACTGATTATTTTTAACCGTCATTAATAGAACCCGAATAAATCTTAGTTAAAGACACTACCCAATAAAATAAAAACATTTTAAGACCATTTATATTTTTTAACGCCGTTAAACGGAATCCTAAAAATTATAAAAAAAAGACTACTTAGAAAAATGATCAACCTTTACTGCGACTACGACATATAATAATATTGAAATACTACCAAGAAACCAGTGCTGCCATTTTTTCCCCAGTGAACCCAAGAGGCGAGGGGGTGGCGTGTGCGGTGGGAAGCTGCTTGACATTTGCTTTTCAGCCGGAGGCGGCTCAATTGCAGTTGCATACATTAAAAATGAATGAGTGCCTGGCTGAAACAGATGTCCCCCAGTTTGGTTCTTCACCTTCCAGCCACCTCGTTCAATTTTCGAATACACAATCGCTGCCGTTGTTGCCATCGCTGTTGTTTTCTGGCTCTCCAGTTGCCAGCGACAACAATTATGATCCCCGTCGGTCTGGCTGTGTGTGTGTATACGTGTTAATTGCTCTGGAGGAGCAGTAAAAAATGGAATAACGGGGGTAATTTCAATGAACTGCATAAAGTGGTTTTGTTAACACGCCGACGACAGAGGATTCAGTCCACTCGCACCCCATCAACCTTTAATTTGTTTCAATTGTCGGGTTGTTTTTTTGCCACTCAATGTCAAAACAATTCAACTCACTTAGCTGGGTTTTACCTCAAAAAATAAATAAAAATAGCTTGCATTAAGTTGAAGCGACAGTCTATCAAAGCTTACAATTCCGAATTTTACACTCGATGTGACAGAACCAGCTGGACCCTTGCGTTTGACATTCACCGATTGACCATCCAGCACATTTATTGCAGCGTAATGAAAGACAATCGAGAGTCTGGCCAAAAAAATATGTACAATTTATGCTGGAATTTTTCATCTAAATTGAATTTCTCTGTTGATTGGTTTTACGGCAAAGGAGTATTTTAAGCTGAATTTATTTTCTAACCGAGTCGTTTTTATTTGGCAACAGTTAGAGAGTTTGGAATCAATTAGCAAGAGCGGCTGATTGGCCTTACTGGTTGCGTTTAAAATTTATTGAATTTATTTTCTTTCATCCACCCAACCTTTTTGTCGGTTCTCTGCATGGAAGCAAGCGCTAAAATAACCACAGATTGGCTTTTTATTCATAAATAAACCTTTTTTGATTTAGAGGCCTCTTTGTTGTGCAATCTATGTCGATTTTTCCATTTTAACTCAATATACACTAGATAAATATTTTATGATATTTGTAAGTCACCAAACATAAAATAATTGGTATTTCTGCAATGATTTAGAACGGATTATCATAAGATTACGCGAATAAATTTTATTTCCAACATTCGGAAAATTCTTAATCTTCTAGCTGAAAAATCAATTATTTAATGCAGGCAAAGTTTACAAACGGGAAATAGTTTCCTTCACCTAACCCACTTTCTTGGTATTTTGCGGAGCCGGAAAAGTTGTGCAATTGAATTTTCGCATGATTTTGCCTCATTGCTGTCATAAGAAGCTATTAGCGTACTTACTGCCGTCGCCCAAAGCCTCAAAACACACAAATGGGCCATAGACCGCGAATGCCCGGAAACCGTGGAAAACGAGCGGCGGCAAAACTGGGGAAAAGGCCAACATGAAAAGCATAATTCTCTGGTGCTGCAAAATGTTGAATTGTAAATGATCAGGCAACGGTGCAGGCAGAGGAAAAATGTGGAAAAATGACTGGAGGGGGTGCGGAAAAAGGGGGGCAGGGCGGTAAGCTAGTGAAGCCATTAAGGGCTCTGCGAAATTCCATGTTCAACTTGGCCAACTATACAAATATTAGAATTTCCCCTGCACACATATACAGCTGCATCTGCAATTGCCCGCAGGTATGCTATAATATTTTCAACATTCTTAAACTTTATTGAATTTGCCGGTCTCTGGGAGAGATGTGGTTGCTCTAACCACCCGCCCACGCCCAACTTCGAGTGTAAGATTGATTTATTTTCCATTTGCTGTGCTTTGCTTTCTGCTGCTCCACATTTTTCATAACTTTTTCTGTGCTTCCCACTCGCCTGCAGTAAATTTATTTAAGTTGTAAATTGTGTTGGAAATTTGTAAGCATTTAAAAATGATTTGCAGCTGTCCGCTCGCTCGATTCGGCTTTAAGTAAAATAAATCCATGGCCACAACTTAAGTACTATCAAGGCCTTGGCATAATGTGCAGCTGCCAAGAACTGCGTTGCGTATACGCAGCGTCGGATCTGTGCATATATAAATTATGGCAATAAAAATAAAATCAACAGTGCTGCGCCTCTGGTCTCGTCTTCGGCTTAGTTCCTCGCTCTTTTGGGGCAACTTTTCACTTTCCTTTCTGCTTTCCTTGGATCTGAAACAGAAACTGGAGCCGGGGACATTATTTCTCTGCTTTCATTTCCGTCTGTTTTGTCTGGTTGGTTTTATTGCAGTTCCCGCAACTCGGATTCTTTTCCACTTTTTCCCTGGGCCAGCAAATAAATATCACAAAAATTCGCTTCCAGTTCCGTCGGGCGTTTTCATGAATTTCTCTCGCATAGAAAAGAATTTTCCCCCGATTTTCTTTTGCTCTCATTTTTTTTCTTGCCGCTTGCCGCTTGCTACTTTGCCAGCTTTTTGTTTCGGGTTTATCCGCGGCGTATTTTCCCACGACTGCTGCAAAACAAAACAGTGAAATGAAAAATTATGGCCAACGCCCCTCGTCCTTCGGCCCCCTTTCCGCCCCGCCCCCATCCGGTGTGTGTAAATGTGTTTTTGCCATCAATTTTTATTGCAAGCTGAGTGTGTCAATAAATTAAACATAAAGTTTTCAGCCGTCGGAAGGCGAGAAGTGCAGGCGCCACGCCCACCGCCCGACTGCCAACATAAACAGAGCGTCTTGTTGAGCCATTGAATTGATTTTGTGGCCATAAAATGCATTCGGATTTGGCCAATTGGCATTGAAGTTGTTTCTCAATTCGACTTCTGACCGACCCGCACCTCCCACACGACGTCCGTCTGTTCCTTTGAGCATTTTGATGGATGGCCTGGCAATTTATATTTAATATGCTTACCGGCAAGCAAATCATTGGCAAGTGCTCTACTTGGCCAGCAAAGACCGACAGCTAATTGTCGGTTTCAAGAACTCAGGCCTTCGAGATTTCCCCAGGAAGCCTATTCAAACAGTTGTTTGCCATCTTCTCAGAGGCATTAATCTTTCGCCTCGCATGCTCCTTGGCAGCAAAAAAACAAGACGCAAAATCAATATATTCTATATCAATATTAATGGACCCAGTTTGCCCCCACTCGCACACACCTCGAAAAGACAGGGATAAAAAAGTGTTGACAGCTGCTTTTATTCACCTGTCAGGCACACAAGCCGTGCTAAACCGTTGATAAGCAGCCGGCCAACAGCGTGTCATACATGGCCCAAACCTCCCAACCCCACTCCAGGAAAATACAGGTCCGGCTATCTCCTCCCTTGTCCATCCAAGAAGACCGGGCAATAAAAATCCATCAGCATCATTTATCAATGGGGGTGCTTTTTCAACGGGGGCAGCGCATGGTGTCTAAGGAAATATGGAAATATGAAGTAGTCATGTAGGAGGGATGGAGGAAAATGTGTCATCTGTCGAAAGAAAGTTGGTCGGGCCCAAATACTAGACTCCAGTGATTGTCGCCCTGGACCTGCTTGTCACAGAGCATAAATGTCAGAAAGTTCGGAGTTGATAAATGACATCGGGAGCCACTCGCCAATGTATTAATTTGAACCAAGACAACGACTTCGCCGAAAAGGCCAAAGTCCACAGGAAAAGAACAAACAGCTAGCACCTGGACATAAACCTCATAACTGTCGAAGTTTGGGATATATATCATAATAACAAACAATGTAAAAAAAATATTTTTTGACATAAAAGCCTAATGTAAAAGTTTTATATTGCTTAACTAGTTCTCAAGTACTTAAAAGCAACGCAATACAAATTATTTCAAAGAAAGAATAATCTGCGGTGTCCCAGTGATCTTTTAAAAGATCAAGATTTTATTACTTTTAATTTATTTGGCTCTGAAATAATCGAGTCTTTTTGGGTATACTATTATTTTTTCAGAAAATAGACTTCCAACCCTCTACAGTAGAAATGACGAAATTGACATATCGGCTTTTAGATTCATTAAGATATACAAACCCAATTATGTATCTGCCACTGCTTTCAACCGAATCTCGGCATCACAACACCCCCAAAAAATCTCATTCAGCTGGCGAGACTCTATGATGACTTTAATAAAATAAATGTAGTCAGTGGGTAGAACTTCCAGAATAATTTTAAAATGGTGAAAATACCATATTTTCTCTCGCATCGACATTGTTAGGAATACTTTATTCCTGGCCTACATTTCAGCCCATCACTCATCTAAAGTAAGTTTTCTACCCAGAAGTGGGTTCCCTTCTCCGCATCTAAATTGTTTCGAAACATTTTAATTAGTTTTTATCTCCCTCGATTTGCTGCTGCTGTCATCTGATGGATCTTTAGCATAAAGTGCAAATGTAATTCAATTTCGATTTCCCCAGCGTGCAGCTGCAGCTGACAGTTCAATTCCCGATACTTTTCTGGTTTTTATTTGTATTCGGGTGCAAGTGTCTCTGAAAGTTATTTGCTGTCGCTTGGCTCTTGTTTGCTGGTTGCTCACTGGAGGCGCGTCTTTTGCAAGGCAAATGAGTGCCGTGCCAAATGCCACGCCCTGAATCGCCCAACCACCCCCACACCATGACCCACCCCACGATTTTCCACCCCCCAATTTCCCACCCAACAGACAACGAGTACAGGCTCTCAAACAATATCTGATAAGCTGCATCATACATTTGCATACTTCCGGCAATTTGTTTTTGTGCGAGCCAAACGAATCGAGACAAATGCAATAAGCGCACAGCAACTACAACGGCTATAGAAAATGCGACAGAAAAAATGGGATCTGCTATGTTCTTCCTACCAACGAATTGGTTATACACTTTCATATAGATAAGCCAATAGTTTGAACTTCAAAAATTATTCTAACTTCCCTAACGCAGAAATCCAGGGATCAAAAATATTCCATTGTTTGGTTTTTGAATAAAAAACCAATTACTTATAATAGCTTTAAAACCAAATATAATAAATCATTTGGTCCGCAACGATAAAAGTTTTATGAGTTGTAACTAATTTAGCTTAGAATGTTGAGTTATATTTATATTTTTTGTGAAAAATCGATTTCAACCCTTTTCATTTGATGTTGAAATGGTAAAATATAGCTACAGTGTAGGCAGAATGTATTAGTATGACACGAACATGTGTTACCTCCAAAAAAATTTAAATTCCATATAACATTTAGAAAAGAAGACTTCACTTTAGGGCTATAGGGTATTCAAAACACAAACAACTTGGGAAAAAAGATAAACCCCAAAGAGTTCACTGGCGCATACAGAACGATTCGGTTTCGGATTCAGAGGCGGAGGAGGCTGTTCGCATAGTGCATACAAATTACGCCCCAGAACTGTTCCACGCCCCTGAAAACTCCCCCGAAAACTCCCCTGGACCCCCTGGAAAACTGCCAGCACTCCCCCCCACTCATTGGTTTATTTAGGTGGCTCGCCTGTGACTCGCTGCAAGTTGTTTGCCATTTGCTGTGAGCTGTGTGCGTCTTTTGCCAGGCAAAAATATTGTTAGCCATAAATTTTTGGCAACACAGCGGAACAGAGGAGCGCACAAAGGGCTGCAAAAAAGTGCATCCAACATCGAGCAGGAAGCGCTGCATTTGTAGTCACAAATTCCGGGGCATTTGTTTAGAAACTTTGTCCGCAGTCCGCGACTGAAACACGCCATGTAATGTCAACTTGATTCGGGTCCAAACAAGAGCTTCCACTTGAGCAAGTTTGCAGCTCAGCGGAGCGAACCCAGCGCAGATAGATGTGTCAGGGATCCGCTTTTGTAAATATGGGAATTTGTGTACATAAATTGGCGACATCGTTCAGGGGATCAGGGTAACATGGTAACAGGGCTGGCTTCCATCAAGCATCAGCCCCGAATTTTAACTCAGAGCTGGAGCAAATCCACACTGACTCACACGTACACTGCTGTCAAAAACAAAAAAAATAGTAAAAGCAGAAATCAAATAAAAATAGGCACCTCAGAGCAAATGCTGCTGGCGCAGCTATTCATACTAACAAAAAAATAAATAAATATTAAATGAATAATTCACAAGGAACTAGTTAAGAACCAAAAACGCCAAGATGAGTATGACAGAGATGATGCGGGGCAAATCGATGCCGGCGGATAAGAAGAATGACATTAAATTGGCCCAGCACGGTGAGATAAATAAAATCCTAGCTAAAACTCATGGAAGTACAGATAATATGAATTAAATATTCTAAATTTCGTAATTACTAGGGTCGGTTGCATTTCTAAACTCAGTCATGCTTTCATGCCACAACACCGATTTCATTCATACAAAAAGTTTTAAAGTTTGTGACGCTCGGCACTTATTTTCAACTAAATGAAGAGTTTAAGAGTTCTCACATACGTTTATAATTAATTTGTTGCTTAAATTAAATGGAAAGTTTAAAATGTTCCTGTTACTTTTGAAAACAAACTTTTCAAATAAGAACTTTTCCGACTGGAAAACAAGTGCTATTTCGGGGTCATTTGAGTATACAATATGGTCCAACATACTATCGCACTTTCTGGAACTACCAGATCTTAATATTCATTCGTGAATTAACCCATTCTTGAATAGACTTTGCCAACGTGCGAATGGTGCAAATTGGCTGTGTGTTGGATGTCCTGGCCGAGGCAATTGAACGGGTTAAGATCTCGCTAATCCTGCCCAAATTGCTGGAACATCCCACGCACATGGCACAAGTTCTGAATGGCACCAAATTCGAGAAAGCCGTTCACCTGGTGGAGTCCTTTGTCCGTCGAAGGGAGTTCATCTTGCGGGAGAAGCGACCGCCGTTGATGGACCACGGGATCATCCAGATCATCGACTTCTTCCAGCGGAACAACAAGATGTACCATCTGTTCCCAAGCTACTACAACCACATGAGCGACAACGAGAAGAAGCTGCTGACTGCCTTCCAGATGCTCTTCGACCTGGCCAAGGACCGCTTGTACAGGACATCCACCGATGCCATCGCCCAGGAGCGGCAGCTGCATGCCATGTACAAGCGAAACGAGGTGGTCAAGGAGCAGGTGGAGGTGATGCGCCAGAAGATCGAGGAGCAGAAGGTGGCCATCAGGACTCGAATGGCCGCCAAAGAGGCCTACCTGCAGAACTACGAGGACCTCCTCCTGAAAAAGAAGCGGGAGAAAAACGAGCGAATCCAGACGGAAATGTGAGTGGTGCTGAACGAAAAATCGGGTAATGCTTCCTGATAGAATAGGTTATAATGATCATCCCTCTCCCAGCGATCGATGCACTCGCTTGGTCCGCGCTAACAAAAAGTCAAGTATGGAGCGTCAGGCCGATTTGGAAGAACAGCTGCAAAAGACACGTACTAACTACGAGACATCAACAAAAACCTACTTAAAACAGGAGAAGGTGTTTCGCGAGGAAAAGTGAGTCCCGATGTCCTTTCTAGAGCGACTCTCCCCTCCTATCCAATCCTCCCAATCCCTCAGAAATAAGCTGATCCTGCAGTTACAAGCCATCATCAAGAAGTACGACCATAGCATTGGTGAGAAGATGATCGAGAACATGCAGCTGACCGACGAGCACAAAAAGGCCAAGAAGGCCCTCGACGAATACATGGTGGGGTTCCGGAAGGTCGAGCGGGTCTATAAGCAGATCGTGGTAAAACGGGAGGAAGAGGAGGCCAGACGCCGGCAGCACCGCATCCTCGTATTCGCCATGAACCGCGCAGCCACCAAGATCCAGAAATACTGGAGGAAGTGGAAGAAGCACATGCGCAGGAAGAACAGGCGAAACAAGAAGGGATAGTCCGTGTAACACCTACAAAAACTATCTAAATTGTCAGTAAACTCTTATAGTACTAAATGCTAATATTAAAATTAAAATCTTAAACTTAACTAGCAGACCATTTTTAATGAAAAGTAGGATGAAAAATAGCTCCAGCTATTAACACTCGGCAGTCTTATCTCCAAAATACCCAAATAATATTGTACTTCCATCTAAATTGAAATTCATCCTGTCACCAACTGCTTTCGCCCAGGCTGGATTGGCTTATTAGAGGGAAAACTAATTTCGCTTTTAATCTGCGGGCTGGCAAGCCACAAAGGCACCTTCAACGCGTCTTCCTACTATCTGCCCTCCATGGGGTGCCATTTGCATTTAAAATGTGTGAGAGAGGTTTCCATTTTGGCAGCCCTTTTTCGGCCGTTTTCGCTGTGGAAAATGCATAGAAAGGGGGATTTTTATCAGAATATGCAGCCAGAATGAGGGGACATTTCGTAATGCCATGGGGCTAAGTGCAGTCAAGTCAATGCCAAAAACTGCCTGCCCAATACGGCTGGGAGTTTTGTGGCTCATGGTAGGGGGCAAAATAAAATGTAAAGAGCGGGCCAGCTGGGCAACCATGCAACCAAATTCGACCATCGAAACGAACGAACGAGCGACCGTATATGCAAATTACGCGCACTGCTCATGCCCTGTCATGAATTGTCACCCATTTTCCAACTGAGATGCTTCGACACGCGCTGTGTGGGCGGCTGGGGAATTGAGGCGTGGCAATGGAAATGGGAATGGAAGGGAAAGGACCCACCCCCTCCCCAAACCATGAGGTGGATAGACCGCAAACAGGCAGAGGGCCCCACCGGGTGCAGCGGCACTGGCACTCATCCGCCCCGTTGGCGGCAACACTCATCCGCCCCGTTGGCTGCACCATGACTTTACGCCCGACAGCAGTCGACATGAATATATCTGCTGCTAATATCAGGTTTCCTTCCGCCCCCGAAAACCACACCGCCCACACCACCCACATACCCACAAATGGTTTCGAATTGCTAATTTTATCAGCACGTGCACACATGTGCTACAACATTTTCTGCGCTAGGAGGACATCCTTTCTGCGGCCGAGGACATTCGTTATCGGCGATCTACGTTTGGCATTTTATTGCTGACCATTTCAGTTCGGCCCATAAAGATTGATAATTATGTCGGGCTAATATTGTCAGCCGTAAAAATTGATATCATCGGATGGGTGGTGGAAAATATTTTATGGTCAACCTTCAGGCCGATTGTGCAATGCACATAAAACGCTCATAATAACACTGCACGGGCGAAAGGGGAGAGGGAGAGAAAAGGGCAGGAGCCAAAGAATCCAATGAATATAAACAACAACAATTGAAATAATGGCAGGCAACTGAAATCCTATCACAGGACTCATCCTTACAGCTCGGCAAAGACCGCAGCAGAATTGCTTTCCACCTCTATCTCCTGCCGTTTCGTATCTGTGTGTATCCGACTGGCTCTGTGTGGGTGCTTTGTCCTGACGATTTAATCGCAGTAATGGAAATGTCTTTTTTTATTAGAGATTTTCATTTCGTGCATATATAGGAATCCGTTTTCAGAGTATTTGCCGTTTCAATTGTTATATTTATTGTGCCACTGTTCCTGCCGATGATTGCAATCGAAACAAAAACCATCCGCGGATCTGCATTTTCCTTAGATACTCTTACTAAAGTTAGCATTTTTTACAAAACTTGGAAGGTTTTCTCTAATAGTTTAAAGGTTTGTGATTATTATTATTATATTTCCGATATATATATTCTTACAAAAGCCATAGTAGAGTTCAAATACTATACGTAGATTTGTTATTTTAAGGGTCTTATCACTATTCTGTGTTGTAATATCTCGATTTAAAAATAGACATGGATAGAGGTATTAATTCCCCCAGATTAGGGTAACAAAATCTCCACTTAAGCCTGACCTTTTATATTGTTTTGCCTTGATTCTGTGTCCTGTCAGCCAGTTGACATTGTGTACAGGATATGTGTAGATTGTGGACTAGATGCATTCGTATAGAATTCCATTTCGGCATCCACATCGACATTCAACTAAATCTCGTTGATAGTATAACTGGTTCAATATTCATTAAATTAAGTGTTTGCCATTCAGTCGATTGTGTCGGGCTGCAAACGTTGAATGATGAATGGCTGATACCCCTGCAGTTAGCCCTGTTTTCGTTGCTTGAATACTTGGCATTCAAATGTTTTGGCGGAATGCACACACAAGTATGCCAGCCATTCCCTTGACTCGAAAGCCTTAACCCATGCTGAGCCATGTGCCCTGTCATGGTCGTTGCATTCCATGGAATCCATGGACCCAACTCGCTTCCTTCCCAGCCCACAACAAACAGACCCACTTTGGACTCGGGTTTTGGCTACGGATATGGGTAGTATGGCTGGGGCTTTCTTTTATTCGCTGCCAAACAATTGTGAGGGAAATGTAATGTGTACTCGCTGCTGGGAAAGTGAGACAAAACCGGGCGAACGGAAAGTATGCAGCGAATGAGCTTCCCAGCTGGAGACTGGGCTTTCTCTTACACGGAAACCAATTCCTACGTGCAGTGTATAAGAAATCTGAAGGGGCTTTACCCGGGAAAAATTGTGGAAAATGTTTAGAATTTGCAAAGTACCCCAGAAAATTCGTAGTATTATATTTCATAGACATAGATATATGAAAGGTATATAATCTTAAAATTATATAGCCCCTTTCTTCAGTGTATTCTTGAAGGTGGGTGTAATGGATGCAGGAAGCAGGAAGCCACCAGACGGCGTTCCATTTTCTAAGGCTTTCGGCTTTTGGGCGAAAAGAAAGCAAACAACTTTAGCTCCAAACATCACAATATCGGGGTAGTCAGCCGCTCTAGGAGCGGGGACAAAAGCCTCGAGGGCCCCAACCGATTCATGAGTGCCGGAAATGCTTTATGAGTCCGGCAATGTTTCCTCCCCGCCATAAAACGCGAGCCAGCCAAATTGAAATCTCACTTTGCGCCGCTAACTTTTCATCTTGTGTTTTTTGGCTGGCCCAGAAATATACGTATATATATGTATTTATGCATAGTCGAATGCATAAGAAGTGGCACCAGTTCCTCCATTCAGAAGGATGCTTGCCAAAAAAGCGACCAGAAAGGGAAACGAGCTGGTGAAAGAAGTTCGCAGCCAAAAAGGCGTCGTTCCCTGAATGCAGGCAACGTCTCTAACTGCTCATAATTTATGCTAACGGCAATTTAAACTTCAGCTGTTATTTATTAAAGCCACGTGAAGTCCTTTCACTCCGTCCTCCCAGCTTTTTGGTGGTCGGTCATTGTAAGCCGCGCTTTCAATGCCCCACTAAACCGAACCCATGACGCAGGCACAGTGGGGCAATTCTGGCAGCTGCTCAAGAAAAATGTTTTGAACATTTCTGTAAGAACAAAATATTTTAGATGCATGCCTTAATAAAAATAACATTCTTGTGTATGACAATCTAGACCTAAGTGTGTTAATATATTCGTAAAATAAATATTATTGTATACTGGCAATATATATATATATATGGCAAGGTATTCCAAGAAACTCATATAAAAATTCCAGAAATATTATTCTAAATAATCTTAGCTAATCTTGACACATTTGTTTAATACCCCAACCGGATCCCTGTTAAATTCACTTAGTATTCCCTCGATTCCAACTATTTACTTGGCAGCGAACAAGAAACTCATTGGGTTAATTTTTTCATTAAAGTGCCTCCATAATCGTAATCGTAATCGAGTTCGTAAAACTTAACGCCAGTGAACTGCACACACATAAGTGTTATTTTTAGGCCAAATTTTCTGCACTTCCGGTTCACTGTTGTTGGCTGCCAAAAAGTGACCTAAATTTCCAGCCAGGGGATGGCTGGCTGTGTCTGGGTTTGTTGGCCCGGCCCAAAGGGAGGGGCTGCCCCTGCCCACCACCGCAGTGCCATCAAATTGTTGCCAGTTCCTGGGATCCAGGGTGCAGTTGAATGTGTCGCATGGCAGCGAGGATCTGGCTGGCTTCGGGGGACAAATGCAGGGGATTGTCGCCCCTGCAGTCGAGTTAAGTGTTTTATATTTTCGTTTAGCAGCTGAAAGTTGCATCCTTGGCTTGGATCTGGCCTGCATCCTGCATCTACCATCTACCATCCAGCAGCCAGCATCCATCCATCCACTAACTGCTGCCGGCTGCGTTCGTTGTTTTTATGCAAAAGTTAAAAGGCACAAGCCCAGCCGCACAAACAAACACACGAGAGCACAGGAACACACACTCGAGGACTCACCCACTCGCTTTCACCTGGCCCATTGCAGTTTAAAGCACTTCGAGCCGAGATTCAAGAGTTTTATTGGTAAATTGGACAGATTGGGGTAAAGTGATATTAATGTCAACGACAGTTAAGGCGAGGTCGTTGGGGGCAGGATATTCAAATTTATATAATTGCGCAAAAGTTTATACTGCCTGGTTAGTTTTGTGGGCATAAAGCTAATGAATTTTGTCGGGCAATAAAATTCTTGGCCGGTGAATATATGTGTGCCTCTTGGGAGAGTTCCAACTTCAAATTCATTCATAAATATTTAAAAAATTGAATATTTGCCTTCACTCAGTTAAAATGTTTCCCTTTTAAGCGCTTGTTGCAAATACAAAAATACAATTTTCAAAGCTACGTTTTTTTGTATGATTTAAAGGATCTCTCATCGTGTAAAAAAGTGTAATATTTATCGCTCCCTTGGCAGCAATTCAATTTAAAATTTAACTCAGCATCATTTTCACTCGCACCTTATTTATACAAACGACTGTGACACAGAAAAAACAATTACGTTTATTCCTCATGCAAAACGTGTTTAGGATGCGCCACATTTTCCACATGCATCTTATTTCCCCCCATCCTCGGCCTTATCCTGCTGGCAACATCATTAGAGGGCACACAAAAAGGAGCAAGCATGGGGAAAGTATATATAAAAACTGCGCGGGAAAATGAAATTTAACCTGCTATCAACAAATTGCGCTACTTTGCAGGTTAACTGCAGCGAACAGAC